ATAGTTATATTCATGATAAGGAATGAGTTAAGAATATTTGAATCCATAGACATCAAAATTCCATTTCATTTGTTAGGTTATATTATTCCAAAAGATGAACCGGAAAAATCTTCGCGGGATGGATAAATGAAAAATTCAATTAGATATTAATAGTAGAAATATTAAAAATAAGTATAATATATTTTTTAAAAAATCTTACCTAGGCCTCAAAAAAAAATCCTTTTTTTTTATATATAATATCTAAATAATTGTATATTAATAGGTAGTCTTGTTAAACGGCTCGATTTAAGCCATTTTTAAAAATGGTTAACTAAACACTTTATCCAGAAAGATATTATGCAATCCTTAAGATAGTGGTCATAGATGAAACTAAGGTTTGGGCATCTATCAGCGGAATGTCGAGGTTTGGGTAATATTAATATTAGCATGGTCATATTCTTAAAATAATACACATAAGTCATTTCGAATTTAAAAAACCATTATGGTTAAAAAAATTTTATATTTTCATCTTGGAATAAATAATAGCAGGTCGATTCAAAATAAAGTCCAGCCGACTCTGAAGCATACTTCTACTCTGGCCGCTCAATTTGAAATGAGTTTTGCGACTCAAAATTTCATTCTTATTTTTATCATTCATATTATATTATAAAATTAGTAATATTGGATGACTTGTTATTTTCTTATCATATCTTATTATTATTTCTTATTTAAATTATAATAAAATAATATTATATAAACTTATATTATATATATATTATTATAATGTTATTGCAAAAATACAAATAATTAAAATTTAATACAAATTAAGATCGGCAAATACAGCGCTGATTCCTCAAATTACATATTTATACCCATCATTTGCTCCACCTTAACTATATATGGTGATTTGGCTAAAAACTTTTTTAAAGACTTTGGCTGCCTAATCAGAAAAAATTCTGGGGAGCCTTGCGAAGGTTTTTACTTAAGGCAGAGGATCGCAATAGCCATTCTTAAGGCTAATTATGTTTGTTTTATTAATTCGATCTCTCCTGATTATTAAGTGAAGGAGGTTTGAGTATTTTTGCTGCTTTCGCTTTTATTTATTTTGTATTTTACATTATTTTATGATCTATGCCTCAATATTGTCCTTTTGTTATTATGATTAATTTTTTTCGCAATCCTTTACTAATTATATATTTTTCATTTTATAAATTATACAATTATAAATTAATTACAAGATTTAAATAAAGATTTATATGAAGCGTAATTAGATAATAAATTGAAATAAAGTTATTAATTTATCGTCAATCAGCCACGCTTACATCACTACTTGGGAAAGACATAACATTGAGGGTTTCTTTTTCTTTAAAGAATATTGTAATTTTGTATGTATATTATATAATTATGATATATTTAAATAAACATTAACAGATAGTAATAAAATTATTTTTACATCTACTGATATTTGTTTATATTGAAATTAATTTATCCTATTACTTAAAAAATACCATATATTTCTTAATACGATGAGTTTTGTTCAAATACGCATGGGCAGTAGCGTAGCTAGGAATTTTCCTTAAAGGGCGTCCATACATATAAAAGCCTGGGGGCTTCGCCCCAGACCCCTTTAACGGGCCTTTGGCCCTTTTGCCCGGCCTTCGGCCGGGTTTATCTTACAAATCATAACCATATCTTCGATAATATATAATAAATATATTTTTTAAATGCATCAATAATTTGTTTTATAATTTAGTAGATTATTTTCAATGACTTAATAATAATACTATCCAGATGATTTCAATAGTACACAAACATCAAAACCAGAAAAATATATTGGTATTCATTTGATATAAAGTCACCACTTATAAGTCTTTTAAACGTATAATAAAATAAATTTTTGCTCTGGGAGGGGTCCAAACCCGAAAACCACCCCCATAGCTACGCCACTGCGCATGGGATAAGTGGGTTAAAAAAATATAAAATACCAATTAATTGTTGTTAAAATAAAAGTGTGCTCTCTCTCATATATCAAGTATTTAAAAAATAGGATTGAGCAAAAAGCTTGATCTAATGAATTTATATTTTTCAATAATTCAAATAGGTCACAATTTAGAACGTACAAACCTTTTAGTAGTTCGGCTAGATTTTAAAATTTTGCCATGTTTTTGCGATATTATATTGATGAGACAGGACAAAGGATCTATACATTAAAATTAGTGGATAAACAAAATAAACCAACTATGTCAGCTCATCCAGCAAAATTTTCTCCTCATGACCCTTATTCTAAAGAAAGAATTAAGTGTAAGAAGCGATTTGGACTTCTTTTAACTCAGAAACCAACTCCAAAATATTAATGTGTATAAATTCTTACATATCTTAATTGTTTATCGCGTTTTATGATTTAGTTTGATATAAATTCTATTAAAATTGCCAATATTTGTAAAATGTATAATAAAAATTGTTATCATTTATACCTTTAATATATAATAAAATTATTAGAATTTTTCTACAAGAGTGGTAAAATATTTTATTTATATGTATACCTTTAAAATTGGCAAAGCATTCAAGTTATTATAAGGCTAGTAAAAATTTTAATATATTTGTATTTTAAATTTTCTAGAATTATATTTTGGACATGTTTTTATTCTTATATTAACAAAAGCTTATATTTTTTTTTATAAAATTTCAAATTTGTGAATTGTATATTTCAGAGACCTACAAGCCCATCTTGGGTTGTATTTTACTTGTTTTAACTATACCTAGGCTGGGCATAAAATATTTTTAAAAAAAATCTGGGCCAGGCCTTGCAAATAGTACGTGACATTTTTTGATACTTTGGATTTAGCCTAATATAAATTTTCCAATTTAGTATATTTTATATCTGTAAGATTAACAAGTAATAACTAAATGTAAATTTTATCAATAACAAATTAAATGAAAGGATCTTATTAAAACATTTAAAATTAGTTTTTCAGCTTTTTCTGGTCTTAGATCTTGTTTATAGTATTCGTGGAATACAGTGGTATCCTGGCAGAGCTATATAATTCCATAAATTAGGCATTGCTCGAATGACATCACTGTAATTTGTTCTTGCTATAAATGATTCTAGATATCGATTTCTATATAAATTATAATTTACTTTGCATTAATAGTAAACACCTTATCTTCAAGTATTGCGTTATTATAGCTGATTCAGATTTAATGACTACATTTAATATAAACCTAAAATAGTGATAATTATCTTATAAATCTAAGAAAAATTATATACCTTTTTATCGAATTTGCCATTATTTTTATAATTATATCACACATTTTTTATCAAGACATCACAACATATGTTTTTCAAATTTTATCATAGCAATCTATACTTATAAATTTATACCTATTTATTGGCTTTATTTTGTGCTGCCGTTAACGCAATGCTTGAATAAAACGCCTTTACTATAGATACGGCTATTCATATTCTATTCCTAATAACTGAATTGATGGGATTAATAATTTGTTGAGGATGTCTTGATATTTAACAATATTCATAAAGAAATTATATTCTAGCCGTTTTACATTCATGCGACCCCATACCATTATGCTATCTTCAAAAATATTTTTGATTTGTTAATATTGTATTCTCTGTCCAATTTAGGTATTATAAAGTCTAATTAATCTTAAATATAAATAGTATGACGTAAACAATTTTTATTTTATGGAAGGAATCTTAGTGAATCTAATCTTCGTTGGTATAGAAATTTCTCAATTGCAGAAACCCAATCAATTTTATTTATTTATGAGAAGTGTTGTTCTAAGAATTTTTATAGAATGTTATCTTTACACGTGATCTATTTTAAGTAAACACAAAAATCCGACTTATGCCTAAATAGTTTTGCTATATATCTGCCTCTTAACCCATTTGAATAAAATAAAAAAGGTTATATACTACTGATTAAATTATAATATAATTGTTAAAAAGATAAGCAGACTATATTAAATTTTGAAAAATAGGATTAATAAATTAGCATTTGTGAACATTTTTATTTAGCCAAAAAAAACGAGAAAAGATATTTTTCATCTTTTTGTTGATCTAATAGCCAGGGGCGTAATCAGGGTGAGCCTTCCCCCCCCATTGCAAATTTGTTTTCGTAGTTTTAAACTAATAAAAATTTCTCCCTATACAACCCCCCCCCCCCCCCCCCCCCTTCTCTCTCAAAAATATATAAAATATATCTATAAAAAACATTTTGAAAGAAAAATTAGTTAAGTGAATAACCTTATAAAATATAATTTAAAATTTTTATAAAAAAACCCACCTAATAGGCTCCCCTTCCCCTTAGAAAAGTCTGCCTATGCTTATATCTTAGACTATATATATTTGGACAAAAATTTTTTGATTATTCCCTTTATTTGATGATTAGTGAATCAGAAATTGCCATTTTTTATACCTGATGAAGTGTGATTCGTATAATTGTCTTTATTTTCCTAATAAATGTTAGCAAAGTGATTTTTTAAAATTATTTTAAACTATACAGAAATCATTTAGAATATATGTGATTTAAGATATCAATTTCATAACGTCTCAGAAATTTTTTTTTCTTTATAGGAATAATAATAAATCTTAGCTGAATTTTCACTTAAATATTAGACTTTATGATTTAAAAAATTTAACCTTTTTTTATTGCCCTACAAAACCTCAACCTATTAACTTTGTGGATCATAAACAAATTCAAAAAGTTTTTATACATTTCTAGGTTATGATATTGATATCTAAAAATAACATGATTTACAAATATATTATAATTCCTGTAAAGTTCAAGTAGTAAAAAAAATAAATTCTAAAAATATACAAATATATTTTGCAAGAAAATATAATTTTTTAGTGCGAAATTACATAAAAAATTAACCTTTAGAAAATACAAAGTATTGGCCATACTATTGAACTCTGTAAAATACCCTGGCTTAGTTGTTATGCTATTAGTTATTAATTAACAAGCAAGGAGTTTGAATTAAAAAAAAATTTGTTCGCATTTAAAAACTTCAAAAATACTTTAATTAATATTTTATTTATAGGTAAATAATTATATGAAAAAAAAATATTTATAGATTTAAGAGGGTAAGTGTATAAAGGTTTCGTATTTTTGAGTCCTGCGTCTTTTTTCACAAGATTAAATTATGGATAAATTTTTGTACAAATAGTTCAATTTAAAAATAATAATAAAAAAATCCAATAAAACTAAAAAAAACATAGGATGGATTTGTAGGTATTAGATTTAAAGGGAAGAAAAAAAATGTTAGGTATTTATTAATAATTGCATTATCTGTTGTAAATAAACTGTAATTACGAAAGAGTAAGAATGTTGTGTGCTAGCTAAAGAGTGAATTACGTTGAGTGTTGAATCCAAATATTTTTTTTCCAAAATATTTAAATTGAAAATTAACTGACAATTTGAATTGCATAGAGATGAAGAAAAGACAGCTAGAATGGAGTTTATATATATATATATTTATAAATAATAAATAGAACTTATATTATGAGAAGTGCGTGTTTGTTCAAAATTGTGTAAATGCGACATTTTGAATTTAAAAAAAAAGCGTATCACGCGCTTGCTTACCTAATAATTTATTTTATGCCCAAAACAAATGGTACTCGTAATATAAACAAACATCGCCAAATAAATAATACATTATATATTAACCAGAATATTCCTATTTTTTTGGTTTTTACTAATAGAAAAATAAATAAATAAATTGCACTAATAAATAAAGGTAGTCAAAAACAAAAAAGTCGTGTCGAAGGGATGGGGACAAAAGGGTGATAATAAATTATGAAAATAATACATTTAAATTTTTTTTTTGTAAAAAAATGTTGGTTATAAATTTTTTATAAACACCGATGATATATAAAAAGTTAATACAAATAAAACTTTATAATTTACAACGATTAAAAGAATCAATCAAAAATGTTATATATATATTTTTTAGAAATAAATATCCCTGGTAAAAAAAATGGCTCTTTCTCAAAGGTAAAAAAGGATTCAATTTTACGAAAATAATAAAAAGATATACATTTTCCAAATTAAATATCGTGAAAAATTTTAAAAAAATATATAAATTTTGTTTTATCACATGTAAATCGTTATTATACATAATATAAAGCGTATATATAATTTCATTAATTAACCAGTTCAAAATCAGGATTCATATTTTTTTTAAAAACGAAGAATATCAATGGTCTCAAGATTAAGAAATGAAATTTAAAGTGAAAGTTATGGAAAAAAAGAAAGGAAAAATAATATGCCTAAATAAAGCAGAACGAAAGAAGCTTTAAAAAAAATGGTAAACAGATGTCTGACTGAATTTTAATGGGTAGTAGGTAAGTATGAGTTCATATTATAATATAAAGATAAAAACGAACTCTAAAACTATTACTTTTTATTACAGATATTCAAATCAGGTTTTATCTTATTTTAACATTACATCCGGTTTTTAAAATTTGTTTTCCTAGTATAACTCTTTTAAAATAAAGTTTGAGATTATAGACCAGAAGTATTTATTCTCATTTCTTAGTGCCTTTGACATTCGAACTATTTCTATCTTTAGGGCTAGGTGTGGGACTAGTGACCACGTGATTAGAAATTGGTGACGCTATTTTACCATCTGGGGGTGATTTTGACTTGGCGGTTCCTGAAGTGGAAGGCGTCAATTTTGGGGATGGTATGGTATCCTTCCGTGGTGGCATACGTTCGTTAACGCTGTCCAAGGTTTTGGCCTCGGCAAAACCATTTATCTGGCCAGTAGTGCTAATTTGTAAGTTTTTCAGAGCTTAGCCAATAAAGTATATTCAAAAAAAATTAATTATAACCTAATAAGGATCGTTTATTTTTAAAATTTTTATAAAGAAATATTGTGAATCTTAAAAAGAAAATAATTCGTACACGCTATGTAATTATAGAAAAAGAAATTAGAATCCTAATAGTAAATAAATGCTTAAATACATGAGCATTCTATTTAAAATTTTTATAAAGGAATATGTATAATTAAAATTTTACTTTAATATTGTGAATCTTAAAAAGAAAAAAAAGAAAATAATTCGTACACGCTATGTAATTATAGAAAAAGAAATTAGAATCCTAATAGTAAATAAATGCTTAAATATAAGAGCATTCAATATTAACTGGGCATATATTAGTGATAAATTTAGATGGATAATTAAAGTGTTTAAAATTTCGTGATTTCTGGAATATCAGAATAAATAATTATATATGTAACGATTTTAAATTAAATATAAATGTACCTTCATATCCTAATATTTAAAGTTTTGGAAATGATGCATGAAATATAATAAAATTTATTTAAAATAGAAAGAAATATAAAATTTAATGATTTATAATACAGTGAGAAAATTGCAAGGAACGAAAAAACGTATGGATGCATTAAATATACAACATTAATTATTAATTAGATATCGTCGGCTGTTTTTATAAATTCTCAGGGTAGCATTAAAAAAAATTCTTGCATTTTAGATAGATCACACCATAATATAGAAATAAAGGATTATTCTTAATTATATTTTAACATTAATCAGCCGACGATATAGATTTTTTTGTGATGCTAAAAAACTGAAATATTTTTGGCACGCACAAAAATTAAATTTTAGGGTGATGAACCCACATTTTACTTCATTGAGAGTTTATTTATTTATTTTTTTCAAGGTTACGTTCAAACCTAATAATTTTTTTTACTCTTAAATGTATTTTTACAACCGTCCTCTCCTATAAATTTATTTCTATTTACGAGCGAAAATTTTAGGAGTTAAAATTTACTCGTACTTTATCTCATATCGATAGTATGGTATAAAAAATAATATTGATTATCAAGTAAATTATGATTAATACATCACCTTGATATCCGACCATTCTTAATTTTTTTAGCTTACAATTTCAAATTATGTAATACGCGATAAAAAACGTTTTCGCCGTCTGGTTGTGGATACAACAGAGCTACGCTAGGTTTTCCAAAAAATACATCAAACTTGATATTAAATTTAGGGGGAGAAAAAAAATGAGGAATCATTCACACGTTTGTGGGCAAGCTGCACGTACTTGTACGCGCAATAGTTCAAATTGTTTAAACATCTGTGGGCTGATTAAAAGGGAATAGACAAAATAAACACAAGCTACACACATGAATGCATATGTATTAATTACTTTAAAGGCAAGAGAAAGACCCATTTTAATCATAAAGTACATTGTATCTATGATAAGTTAACATGAAAATAAATGAAAAGCTAGTGTCAGTGAAAATGTAAGACAGAGAATAAAGTGAAAAATAAAAGTCAGAGAATAAGTAAAAAAAAAGAAAAGAATAATAACCTGAATAAAGAAAGAGTTTATAGGAGAATTAGATAATATGATTTCATTTTTAGTAATTTCCTTATTGACCTTCAGTTTTTATTGAACTTCAGGAACTGTTTCATATTTAAGTTTAAATCCATTATGTTCTTCAAAGCTCTGTAGAGCCATAATGTCTCATACTTGCGATATGTTTTTCCCTTAAAGAAGCATAACCAATTCATGGCGTCGATAATAAGACTATTATTACTATGGTTTTTCAAAATATAAGCCAAGAAAGTTAAGGCTTCTTTTTAATGTCACGTGCTTTGAGTATGGTTTGATCTCTTCCAAAGGTTTTCATTTAAGATAATATTAGGGAAGGAGATATATTTATTATTCTTAGACATTTATTTACGAACGTCTGCAATTTTCTGTCCGTCTAGGTAATCTTCATGTCCTCGCCATATGGGGGAATGATGGTTGAATTGAAAATATGGAGTCTTGTAAAAACAAATAACTCCCTAGCTTTCCACAGTTTGAGAAATTTGTAAAAAGCTGCCCTAACATTTTGTATGAGGATTTTTAGTTCCTCTTTACCACTGCCTCTATTGTCAATGGTTACATCAATATATATATAGGATTTCACCACCTTGGGTCATTAACCAATTTATTATTTTCAAGCCTTATCGATGGGAGTGTCTTGAACACTTATGCCTTGCAGAAGTATTTGAACTTTTTTAGGCTCCCTCATATACCTGTCTATCTCGAAAGCTTTTTTAGCAATATAAATCCTTCTGTCCCTCCTAAGAAGTCTATGGATTGTAGTCCAGAGGTTACCATCACGCCTTTCATGTGGCTTGAGTTCGGCTATCATATAAACGGTATTTTCGGATAACCATTCGTGTCTCGGAGGGGAATTGTTAATATTAGGGAGATTATTGAAGGCTCCAGATACCGTTTATTTAGTATTGCATCTCCTTAATTAACACCTCTAGTTATTTTATATACTTTTGCTTGAATATTTATATCTCCGATAAAACTTTCTCTGCAGTTGTTTTCGTCTACTTATTGTTCGGAAGATATAGTTGATTATCCTCCTATCCGTTAATTTTTTCTCCCACTATATTTATGGTTTACAGTCCAAGGTTTGCTTGTCTCTCTTCATAGTGCACAGAGGGAAGATATACTTTAATTTGTACTCTTGGTCATAGTGTTTCTCTACTTTCCCCCTGTTCTGCATGGTTTTAGAGTTGGTATATTTTTTTCTCATAATGATTAAACTGGTGACGCTTTTCATCACACGATCATATACTAAAGATCCCCTCCTCCCTGAACTAGGAATTTTATTGTTTCAAACCTACAATTCTAATAAACGTCTATGCCCTGCCAAGTAGAAGTGAAAGGTTTCCTTTCTTAGATAACCTTGAAAACATCGTTAAATCACTTCCTAGGAGCCGTAATTTGATAATTCTTGGCGACTTGAATACTAGGATTGGGGAGGAGGACTCTTTTTATAAGATATAGGGTGATTGAAAATGTAGCCATCTCACAATCAAACAGTGGTGACAGTAGGAAGATCCTGGAGATGTGAAGGAGTATTAACCTTAAAATTGAGAATACCTTCTTTCACAATGAAAACAACACTGTAACCTTTAGAAGAAATAACAATCAAAATTATTTCTTCATCTCAAACATTCATAGTTGGTTTAAAGATGTGAAAATATTGCCGAACATGTAAGGAAACAGAGCTTGCTCTTACGTCTATTTCATCAAAGGTTTTTATGGTCCTTTTAAAAAACCGCATTCTCTTCTCTAACCCGAACCTTTTATCTAAATATATTTGTGCTTAACGTCCAAGAAGAAATATAAATGAACCAATATTAGCTTTAAAGATTATAATGCAGAAATGTGAGAAATATAAGTTACTTTTTTACTTTATTCGATAATGGTAATCTGAAGATCTTAGCAGAATGCGGCATTGATATTATTATCATAAAGATCCTTAAGACACACTATATCAGTCTTTTCGCTTCTTTCAAAATCAATAATAAACTTTCTCCATCCTTCAGAACAAAGAAAGAGGTAAAGCTAGGGCGTGTTGTTTCCCCGTTACTGTTTAATATAGTCATGAACAAAATAATAATAGATATGCTGGGAACTGCGATAAGGTCCAATCAGTCGTGTTTCTTGGAGAACAGAGTGATATCTTATACGGATGAAGTGATGATCACAAAAAGTATGGAAGAAACCCAAAATTTGATTTTTATATTAAATTCCTTTAGTCTCAAGATTGGCCTAGACATAAACTTTGATAAAACAGTGATAATGCCCCGTTCCATGCATCCCTCTGAATAACTTTGTAGTAGCAGGCAGATGGTCAAGGTGATGAAATCCGATAAATATCTTGGTGTAACCATTGACAATAAACGTAGTTGCAAAGAGGAACTAAAAATCCGTATACAAAATGGTAGGGCAGCTTTTTACAAATTTTTTAATTTAAACTGTGGAAAGCTAGGGAGATATCTGTTTTTACAAGACTCCGTAATTCAATTCAACCATCATTACGATTCTCTTCTATGGCGGTGACATATGGGAGATTACCAAGACTGAGACCAGAAAATTGCAGACGTTCGTAAATAAATGTCAAGAATAATAAATACATCTTCTTCCCTAATATTATCTTAAATGAGAACCTTTGGAAGAGGTCAAACCATACTCAAGGCACGTGACATTAAAAAGAAGCGCCTTAACTTTCCTTGTCCATATTTTGAGAAACCATAGTGATAATAGTCTTGTTATCGAGGCCATAAATTGTTTATACTCTTTTAATGGAAAAACATAACGTAAGTATGAGACATTATGGTTCTACAGAGCGTTGAAGGACATAATGGATTTAAACTTAAATATGATACAGTTCCTGAAGTTCAATAAAAACAAAAGGTCAATAAGGAAATTACTAAAAATGAAATCATATTATCTAATTCTCCTATTAACTCTTTCTTGATTCAGGTTATTATTATATTTATTTATTTTTTACTTATTCTCTACATTTTCACTGACACTAGCTTTTCATTATCATAGATACAATGTACTTTATAGTTAAAATCGGCTTTTCCCTTGGCTTTAAAGTAATTAAATACATATACAATTAATGGGTGTGGACTGTTTATTTTGCCTCTTCCCTTTTAAACAGCCCACAGACGTTTAAGCAATATTCAAAATTATAATCTCTTAAAAAAGATCTTTTATATGTAAGAATTCAATTTTTATAAATTAGAAGCAAAATATAAATGTTTAAAAAAGTATCACCCTTTGCTAAGATCACCAAAATGTTAGACAAAGTTAATTTCTACATTTATAAAAAATAACCATAATCTGCTCATTTTTCAAATATAAATATTAGGGTTTAACATAAATCGTCATAAATACTTTTTTACGCCCAAAATTTTAAGTAAAAATCTTTAAATCAACAAAATTTTTTTAAAAGATCAAAAAACATTTTATAAAAATTTGAGATTTCTACATGAAAAACTTTTTGTGCATAAAAATCAAACAATTTACTTATAAAAGATTTTTTATAAAAAATCTTCCGAACAAATGTTAAACTATGCTCAAAATAGAGGACATCTAAAAATATATAATTCGGAGAGAATTCCAATATTTTCTCAAAAATTGGTAAGTTTTCTTCAAAATAAAATTTGTTGAAAGAAATAGTGTTATAAAACCCAAGCAGAAAGCCATTACCTTCATACTTTAGAATGGTCAAGTTTTCAGATAGAATAACAATGCGAGGTTGCATGAATGCAAAATCTAGGATATATTTATTTTATAAAATATAACTAGATATCCTCAACGAAGTACCGATCTCATCAATTCAACTATTAGGACACGAAGCTCCTTGTCATATAGCTAAATCTACAAATTTGTAAGGATGTCTCAATCTGTTACCAATGTCTAAATTTCAATCGAGAGCTTAGAAAGCAGCGATTTAAAAAAAAGGATTCTTTGAAAAATAAATTAAAGTTTATAAGGAAATATATACCAAAATCTTAATAATCCAATTCCACAAAGATTAACCGCAGTTATAAAGACAAAAGTGGATATAACACTTTCAAATAGCTAGGAGTAATGATATTTTAGCATAGTAAGGCAATAAATTTGAATGGTTACATACTTTTAATATATACTTTTAATATATATATTTTTTAATAATTTAAATTATATTTGGTTCATTATTTAATAATAAAAGTCTTGAAATTTTTTTTTGAGTGTTCATAATTATTTTTTAAATTAAAAATCTAAATAAGCTTTAAAAAATATAATGATCGGCTATCATTGTAGTGGAGTAGTATATATTTATTTATAGGACATGTAGTTAGACTTCACTTCATTAAACTTAGAAAATAATTGCAACTTCTATTTATGCGAAATGAAAAACAGGAGCAGAGGCTGCTTCCTAATTGAGAATATAACACTAAATTATTATTTTTATAAAAGGTAATATTATACTTTATTTATTTATATCTAAATTTTATAATCCTTAATCCTAGAAGTTAGCTATAAAATTATGGTTGAGAATTATATACATGTTCCTAATAATCTGATTTTACAAGAGGAATACATTCTACCTACTTATTCGGGTTGATTTTATTATACTTCGAAATTTATTAAACCAATTTATCCGAAAAATGTGATTGATTACTTATTAATGTATTGGACAGCGAGTAATTTACTAATAACATTTTTTACGAGTAATCTGGTTTGAACGACGCCTTAAATCGATTTAAAGAAAAGCTCCTTCAAATTAATCAATTTTTATAAAATTTAATATAAATTCATTTTACCTTCGTGCAAAGAATATCGGCCCTGCGATAGTAATCCTTGAGGTATGGTACCAGTGGGAGTGAGTCCCTTGAGCTTCAGAACGCATTCATTCTCTTCTCTAAGTAAATTCGAGATGGGAAAATTAAGAATAAATTAAATTAATATTTAATCTTTTGACATTCACCCCTCCTATATTCCTAGATTCGAATACTTATTTTTTTTAGAAAAGTAATTATTGCCTTCTCATATTGTATTTATCATTTGAAATTTCTTTCTATCTATAATTCCAGCCTTTGCTTTTTAACAAATCAAATGACAACTAACCAATTATTATTGGTCTAAATCAATTTATTGTTATTGATATACAAAAACAATGTTCGTTACCTCAAAACAGTGAAGACCCTGGCCATTTTTCCGATGGCTCTAATTTTATTTTTGATCACTTCTTTACGTGCTGTAACTGCAAAACGAAATATATAAAAAATAAAGTTATGAATAATCTTATTAAAAAACACCTTATTTATATATTTCAGAAACCTGCAGAGGTATCATTTGCATGGCCCGGGCTCGGATTTTTTTTCAAAAATAATTTTGACCCGGCCTGGGTTTTATATTTTCAGGCCCTGCTCGAATTTTTTTTAAATATATTACATTTATCATTATTAAGAAAAAATTTTAAACCCAGCCGACCTTGGTATATTTAAAAAATTTAAAAAGGTCTCCATCCAATTTACATTTATCTTCTCATATTACCAAGCATTTTATCATCTATACACTTAAATATGTAGAATTCAAAAGTTATACTATTAGGAAAGATTTTTAAAGAAAAAAAATATATTAAAAATTAAGTAAGCAAACAAAACCTTCATTTTCATCTCCTTCGACAAATAATTCGTCGTCCGAACATATGTTCAATATGTTAACCAACATTTCGGTAACTAAGATTAAAAGAATATATTGAATTTTTAAATATCATTATAATAAAGTAAAGTAATTCCAAATTAACTATAAATCTAATATTAAAATACTCAATTGACCCTTATTTTTAGCTAAAACTACCATTCCTCCTCCTTTTTTTCAAACTAAAAGTATATAAAAGAAATAAAAATATACCTTTTTCACCTACGAAAGGCAAGGACCAAGTGAAAACGTCCATAAAATTAGGTAACCAGTAAGGGTGGGGAGAGCAATTGAATTGCCTTATATTCATAACGTTATTTTCATATTTCAATATGGCGGCTTAACAATTTAGAAAAAAAAGGTTGATCAATGTACTAGTTCTAAAGGCGAATGGGTTAGAGGCCAGCGCGGAGCAGGGAAAGATTATTCGACTCATAATTATTTTATATCCGAAAACAACACAAATTTGCCTATTTATCAGGTTTAAAAATATCTTTTCCAAACTTCGGTCCAGCTTGTAAAAATATTTGGCGCAATTTGTCCCATCCGGCCCAAAATATATTATACATTTAAAAAACATATATATATAATTATTTATTTTATAAAAAATCAAACCTTTGTTATTGTAAACGTCTAAATAATTTGGCGCAGAAAATATGGTTATCAAAGAGGGGAATCCAGTAGTTTGGCTCTTTTTATACATCTTGTAACTGGTGGTATTTTATTTAATTATATTAATTAATAATACGAATAGCGACTTATATATCAGATAAAGATATTTTAATATAAAATCAGCACTTTATTCTTGGGCATGAAATTATTCTTGAAATTAAATTATTATGATTTAATTTACTATAATAATTTGAAAATTCACCAATTTGTTATGGTAACTTATATATTAGACCGATCCTTTAAACATTCTGTCCGAATTCCAAAACAAGGTTCCGCAATGAACCTGCTAATACTTTCTTAAATTTTGAACTTGAGATTAAAAAGCACTAAGGTTAGAATGATCTAAGGAATCATTGGAAAAATATTAAACACTATTTGTGGGATTAATCATAATTTATCATTTAAAGTGCTTTGTTTAGATGGTTCATTATAAAATTTCATAAATATCAGTAAATTGTAGTAATATATAATCAAAAGACAATATTGGTATATCAATCGCACTATACAAAGTTCATATTTTGCTATTCCAAGATAATTAATGGTGTTAAATAAACAATATAAATTTAAAACTAACCCAGCATCTTGCGCTTCGTGGGCTCTGATAATGGAAAGAAGGTTATTGTGCGTCAAAAATTCACAACAGGCAGGATAACTAAATATTGTTTTAAAAAAAATATTAAAATATTTTAATAATTTTTTATGACTAAACAAAAAAAATTGTGTATTATAAATTTACCTGTAAAAATAAGAACAGCCCCTGACACTATTGTGAGAAAAATGTTCGGAAGTGCGTTCATTCCCGAAATCTTCTAAAGGGTCAGACCATAGTATATCGCACATAGGGCCGAACGCGGGAGGTTCCTTAAATCGGTCCAACTGTTGTTATATATGGTAGAGAGATATCATTTATCATTTAAGTATTTTGTTCTGAATAATATGTATAGTATTTTTCGGAAAATCTTTTAAAAGATTTATATAAATAAACCAGCAAGAAATTCTACTTGAAAAATTTAAAATGATAATTTGACGAAGGCTTATTAAAGTAAAAATTTAAAAGAGATATTGCAAATTAAATTATAGGATTTCTGAAACTCGAAATAAATAATTTAAAAGCGAGATAATATCATGATTGACTATAGATATAAACTTTTCTGATTTCATCTAACGTGTGAATTTCGGGAGATAAACCACCGTGAACACATAAAAATTGTTGGTTCATTAGGGCGGCGAGTGGTAAAGCGTCAAAGGCTTCCATACATGTGTCGTATATGTGTTCAGAATATTTGATTTTGCCTTTGATAGGTGATAATAATTTATAAAAAAAAAATATATTTCATAATTAATAAGTTCATTGTGTGGAAAGGTGTATCGTAGGTCTCACTGCAAAACTTTCTAACAAAATTTTCTCATATCATAAATGATTATTTCCCCATTATTTGGAACTTCCTTCTATCTTTATTTTAAAATTTTGGCAAATATATGTAAATTTTCCACAATCTCAATTAGAGATCTGCATTCGGACCTAATATTTAAAAAAAATCGGGCTAAGCCTAAATATGATATCATTCAATTTTGTGAAATAAATTCACATATTTTAAAATTCTTGCAAAAAACAAGGCGTCAATATTTTTTATTTGTAGAATTGTAATTAAAAAATTTAATAAATAAGGATAGAGGAGAGAAAATTTTTATTTGGGGTCGAGCTTTTCGAGGCAAATAAAAAAAATTGTTCGGAATAGGGCCGGACAAATTTTTTAAAAAAATATCGGGACAGGCTTGAAAAATTAAGCCTGATGCAGATCATTAATCTCAATTATAATTTTTGAATGAATAATTATTCATATCATAAAGGTTAATTTTATTATTTAAAAATAGTTATCATTAATAAAATCCGTTTTTCATATGTCCAGTTAAGTTTTAAAAATGTTAGTGCAGTGACTACGATATATGATTCTTGCACAATCTCAAAGCCAGGAGTTCTAAATAGGTTAATAAATTTATTATAAATTTCTGATTGTTTCTCCACAACCATACCAAAAATGATTTACATTATGATTATACTTTATTAATAATTAATATAGATTAATTCTTAACAAAGTTTTCTTTTAAAATTAAATAGGTAAATTTTATTTTTTACATTCGGTTTTAAATGTGAAATATTCGGTGAGATGACGGCATTCATGGTTTCCGCGTAATAAATAAAACGTTGTCGGGTATAATATTTTTAAGGCCCACAGATATACGACGCACTAAAAATTTTTTTTTATGTATTTTTGAAAAATAAAATAATTATAAATGATCAAATTGATGTCTAATTTTGTAGCAAAATTTTTGAACCAACAAAAGCCTGCAATATATTATTATTAATTGTACCTAAGATGAGGAATTATCTCAATAATAGCGCCAAATTAAAACATCAAACAAGAATATTTAGTTAACGAATAATCTTGCATTATCGATTCCTTTTGAATGTTAACATCTAGCTCGCTGCTAAAAACGGCTAATCCGGCAGAATAAGATGGTCGGGGTTGTACCATCCAAAAGGTAATAAAAAAATAAAGTGGTTAATTTTAAAACACATTCAAGCTTCGATTATAACGAACGAGACGGTACAGGATACCAAAAAATAATAATTTACCCTTATAAAATTTTTTAAAAAAATTGCTTATTAAAACATAAATTTATAAGGAGAAAAAAAATTGATAAACAAATTTTTAAAAAGATAAGAAAGAAGAAGAAAATATTAGCACTATCATACTGTTTATTGAATGACTAATATTTGTGATTCTTAAATAACCATCAAAAAAGCTATATTAATTCTTTTTTATAAAATGAAGGAAATTAAATTTATTATTATTGATTGTAATCCTCGAGACTAACAAGACCTTAAATTTAAATTTCTTACCCATGTTCATCTTTTGAAAAATATTTTTGATTTAACGTATTTTTCTAAAAAACCGCTTTTTACCTTTAATATTATAAAAATTACTGTCTAGCATATTTTGCTTTTCGCAAAATATATTTATCCTCACGATTTAAAAAGATGATTCTGATAAAATAAAAGAAGTTTATAGCTTAATTATAAGTCATATAGTAATGAATTGTATATTATATATAGACCTGTGCGATGCCGGCAATTTTATTCATGCCGGAAAAGCCGTCGATTGATACCAGCAGCGTAGGCTACCGATTTTTTTTATGGCGGCGGCGCGGCGTGTATAATTTTTAGAATGCTGTTTAAAAACTTGTTCTGTTTTGCTTTACATTTTCATATCAAAAATACCAATCGTTTTACCACGATCTCCCCGATTCATTAAAAAAAATTGAAATACAATTTATTTTAGGAAATGGAGACTGGGAAAAATTGCATTTTTTTTGAATTACATTTCATTTAAAAAAATGGGTATCGGAAGTAAATATCGGCACCGTATTGATATCGGTAAATAAAGTGGCACCGTGCACCTCTGTTATATAGTTATAAACAAGCTTTCGATATAATGTAATGTTAAAATTAATAAAAAGGTATACCTCTATTCCTTTAACTGGTAAAAATTTATGCTATTTTGGTTTTATATTTAAAGTTCACTATATAATATGGAAACATTATGATATAGATATGAAGTGTAAAATGAATTTAGGAAGCTTTTTTTCTCAAAAACTATATCTGAATGAATTTGATTCACAATACCAAATTTTCACAAAATCTGGATTTTGTTATTTAACAGGCCTCCAAAATAGCGGAGGAGAGTTTAAAATTATTATTTCAGGGCTCGAGCCATTAGTCGGAAAATGGGTTCGACCTTGAGGAAAGCATGAAAAAAGTTACTCGTGCATCAAGGATTTAGAACTTACCATTAAATATCGTCGGTTACAAAGTGTTAATATTTTTTTTGTTGGAAAAAAAAGAAGCTAAAATGGATTATTTAACTATTAACTATAATAAATACTTATTTGATTATAAATATACTATATTATAAATATGAAATTGTTGAATCGACCTTCAAACTGCGCACACCATATAATAACAACATAGATTTTTGACAATTAAAAAAAATTTATAATTTTAATGTCCAAAGGAGAGTAAGAAAAAAAAGAAGAAAATAAATAATAAATTATCTAAAAATAAAAAGATAATTACAGCTATAGGTTTTTTTTATCATGAAGGGAATTTTGTTTTTTTCTTATTAATAAAAGTGAAACCTTTATAAGGTATGGCGGTTTTTGATCAACAGATGATAGTTCATATATAAATAGAATATTCTGTAAAGTATTTTTTAATAAGATTTTGGGTGGCCCTTTACCCCTCATTCGGGGTTAGAGCGAATTCGCGGTGAATTATACAAAGCAGTATTTTTGTATTTTCCTCAATGAATTCGAGCTAGTTGTGAATGAGGGGTTACCCGGTATTCATAATTAGCAAAGGTTATGGAGGTTTTATTATTTTTTTATAAAAAATGGGCTAATATTTTAATATAATAAATTCCTGTTAATTAAAATTTATTTATTAATTAATATGATAATGTTTAATCATTATCTTGCGGATATGTTTATCAATTTGATTGTATCTTGCGGTCATATCTCCTTCTTTGCAGTGCTTTCTTGAGATAAAAAAAGATGCTATGGATATATCAATTATTTGAGTCGATGAATTTAAGTTCAGGAGAACAGATTTATATTAGGGGTTGTAACTCGTTTTGGCAGACTATCATTTTGCATGTAATAAACTTTATCCAAAACTAAAGCCAAAAAGTTGAAGCGTGCGCGTATATATAATAATATCATTAATATCTATTTTGTGTATATTTTTAATCTCATTTTTTCAGCTGAAGAAGATGAGGAATTTCAAAATAAAAAATTTAACACTCTAATTTTCATCTAAATACACATGTCAGCAAATAAAAGATTTTTTTCAAATATAAAATTAGTAATTATAACCAACAGGGAACTGAAAAGCATGGCCCGGGCATTTGTATAAAAATGATGAGCCGGACCGGACAATTCGTACATATAAAAATTTCGGGCTGGACAATTCATACATAAAAAATCTGGAGGGCCTAGCAAATCTTTGATTTTTCATAAAATTTTAATAGGCTAGGCTGGGAAATTTTGATATATTTTTTTGAATTTCAAGGTAATATTTTGATAAATACAATTTTTTAAATAAATATCAATAGAATTTTAAGAGTTTTCTAAATAAAATACTAAACCTATAAATAATATCTTAAATTTACAAAAAAATTAACAATTTATTTATGATATGATTTAATCACAAATGCACAATAGAGATTTCAAGATATAAAAAGGTTGTTGTACAAATAGATAGCCATATTGGGAAAAAATTAGAATATTTTAAAAAATAAATTCGTACAAAAAAATACGGGCCGGGGTGGACTTTTCGTAAAATTTTAACTAGTCGGGTCTAATTTTTATTAAAATTTTAACGTTTAAGGGGCGGATCAAATTTTTTAAAATATAATAACGGGTCGGGGAACTTGCGCAAAAATTCTTTATGGGCCGGCCTTTGCAGATCTCTAACAACTTCTAAGGAAAGAAAATATTATATTTTTTTCTAATTCATAATTAGCTAATAAAAATTGTCGAATAAAAAATATAGATTAAGATGGATTTATATAAAAATGTATCCTTTTAACTTAATAAATTTTATACTTTTAATTTAGGATAATTTGACAGGTCAAATTATCATTTTTGCCAATCGTAATTATATAAAAGGAATTTTCGAATCTATCAAAAATTAAATATAGAATAAAAGAAAATTGCAGTAGTAATACATCTTTAAATTTTATAGAGCAGGATACGACAATAAGTATACTAATAATACTATTATTATAATTGATGTGTGCGTTGAATACAAATGTTTATTATTCCACCACCCTCGAATAAGCATCTAACCTATAACTCTGTATTCTGATGGTATATCCCTCATCTTCTGGACAAACGGGCTATAAAATGCGGTTATTTCAAAAAAAAATTTATATATATAGGTCTGCCTAATTATTACAATCTTCATGCCTTATAATCACTAATGGAAAAGAAGTACTAGTTAATGCGGCAAAAAAAAGAAAGATTAGTGAGTGGGTTTTAAAAGTGGTGAAAAACGAGAAAGTTAATATCTATTATATATTTTCTATGGATTAATTATAATTGTATATATATATATACACATTTTTTAAAAAAAGTATATATATATATATAAATATTCTAAAACATTACTATGATGATTATATTTGCATAAATTTAATGTCCCGTTCAGTTTAACCTTCAAATTTTTTAAGATTAAAAAAAATTCTTCTTTTATTGAATATGAAAAATACATATAATAATGTTTAATGTATATAAAAATTAGATTTACTTATTATTATATCGATTCTCAATAATATAAATTATAATAAATAAATATTAAAGAAATTAATTTGGGAGGACTATTTTGATAAATTTTCGGTTTAATGAATAAATCATTAAAGAAGAATTTCATGATTTTCCTTTTTGTTTTATAGGTAATTATACATGTTGTTAAACGGCTCGATTTTTAAAAATGGCTAACCCAATATTTTAGCCAAAAAAATTAGCGCAAGTCTCGAGATTTAGTTAATAAATGTCCAAATTTCTGCTATCTATGAGCAAAATCTTCAGGCCTATATTTTTTGGCTAAGATAGTGGGCTAGCCGTTTCAAAAAATCGAGCCATTTAACAACACTAAACAATAAAATTTACCCCTTTTGTAGAATGCGGCGGGAAATTTAAAAAGTTAGGCAGAAAATGATTTTATAAATGAAATGAGAGGTACAGATAAATAAAGCCATAGTTTCTATTTAGCCAGCTTAAACCTATTTTTCGCTTCGTGTTTTTATTTAGAAAAATATGGCTCAATTTTGAAGAAAGCAGAAATAAATTTACTAGTGCCTCATTGCGAGGCGAGCGAATTTAGGGCACGCGCACGTAGATAAACTCGATTTTTTAACATCCAACCAAAATGAAGAACATCATTGTTTCTCCAAATCTGCTGATTTAATAAAGGTAGGGACTTTTAAAATGACAAAAAGATTAACACAATAGGAAGAATTTCATTAAAAAAACAGTATAAATTGAATGGCGTATATTTATTAATAAGTTATAAAAAATCAATTATGTTGTTTTTCCTAAGGTCAGATTAAATTTGAAGGGGAAAACTTTACACATTATTAATGCACGATTGATATCTCGTTTATTATTATTTTAGGAAAATGATTGATACAGAATAATTAGAGATAAATTTTTAACTACTTTTGAGCAAAAAAATTATTTCACGTTCGTTTAATATAATAACAAAATACTATCTCATTTTCAATTCCCAGTTCCTTTTGTGGCAACAACAAAAAATTGTCTTCATAAAAAGGAACTCTTTTGTGCAATAAACAAATATATTTACTTATTAATATTGTCTATAAAATTGAATCAAAGAATATTTGATTAATTTTTAAGAGTGAGATTATTTGTTTTTATGAAAGATGAAAAAAACAATCTAAAGGGGGATAATTAAGCAAAGAAATTAAAATGTTCGAGAAACGTTTAAAGTGGAAAGATAAGAATGGATGGAGGACACGGGGGTAAGTGGACTTAAATATACTTGATAAAAAGAATAAGAAAACAATCTTATATATAAAAAAATGGTTAAATTAAAATAAATGATAATTATATTCATGTTAAAAATATAGCGTTTAATGATATCAAATAATTTACCAAAAAAAAACATTTATATAATATGCATAATATACAGCACTCTAGTTATTTCTCTAAGGTATTAAAGGATAAATTATAACATTGTGTTTTTTTGCAAGATTATTTGTTTTTTTAATGAAATATTGTTTAAAGAATTTTAAAAAACAAAGCATTTATACTATGTCCTTATGTGATTCCTACATTTAATTTCTTTCTTTCTCTTTTCAATTTCTATCAACCACGTATAATTTAAAAATATCATTATTTGGTAAAAATATCAAATATATAATATGCAAATTATTAAAAAAATTATAGTTTAGCAAATTATCTGTTCTGTATATTCATTAGTATATAATATATATAATAATTTATAATTTATATTCATCAAAACTAATTACGAACATACCTTGGTATAGTTATATTTATAACTTTGTATAGCTAATACATTTCGTGTTAAAACATTAAATCAATAATTATCTTAAACTAAGAAATTAAGAATTATATAATAAAAAATTAATCTAAAGCTTGCAAAAGGGATAAGTGTCATTATAAAAACTTTTTTCCCCTCAAAATACCAACTCGATAATCCATTTATTATATAATAAATATCAAAACCGCTACCACAACACTACAGTATCTTTACTTTTTTCCAAACATACACAATTTAGAAGAAACGTTTGGTGTTGTTTTAAAAAATACTTTAGTGTTTAAATTGGTGCAATATCTTTAAATTATTAAAGGGGGAAATAAACGCAAGCTATAAATGTATAGTCACTATTATATATATTTCAAAACGTAATTTACCTCGATACTAAAGTAACCTCTATCGACATAATCGCCCAGGAATAAATAGCGGGTAGAAGCCGGGGAACCTCCGACTTCGAAAAGCTTCATCAGGTCGAAAAATTGGCCATGAATGTCGCCACATACTTTATTTAGTTCGTGTAAATTAGAATATAACTTTAAGAGTTATTTAATATGTGAAATACAAAAGATTCATTATTGCCAAAATCTGCTTACTAGTATTTAATTAGGTTAAACCATTACAATAAAAAAAGTGCCCCCATCCTTGAATGCATTAGTCTAATAAATACATATTTATCTCTTGGAATCCTGTGAATATTTTTATTGAATTATATAAATTTAATAATAAAAGGTGAACTGTGGATAAATTATCTTTTATAATATCTTTTAAAAATTTAATTTAAATAAATTTTTTATAAATAATAAATTGTGTTATAATATTATATTTATATCTATAAACTCATAGACTATACTATTACTAAGCTTAAGCTCACACGCATATTATCGCGCAATCAAAGAAGTAAAGCCGTTTTTGCCTTATTTTTTTTTTAATTTGACAAGCAGTTCATGTATATGACGTCGTTAGTAAAATATATTATTTAGAAATTGATTTATAGAGTTGATGATAGAAAGATATTTTCACAAATTTACACTGTATGATTGATTTAATGTTGAAATTGAGGAATGTAAATATTATGACAGGGGGGAGGGATCTATTTGTTAAGAATTGATTTATATTAACAATTATGGAGGCCAATTGGGCCTCAAGATTTTTCAGAATAGCATGCGGCAATAACATGACGGAAAAAATTTTCTTCATAAAGATAAAATTCCATTAATATACAATATACATATAAAATAATTAACCAGTAACGGGGGCATCTAAGTCGATCATTGTTTTTTCTTGTCTTAGCAGTACCGTTCCGTCATTAATAATTTTGACAGCCACACTTTCTTCTATCCTACCTTCCTGAACGAAATGCGCTTTAAGGACATCGATTCGCGGTTTGCCTTTGGAATCAAATACTTCGCTGCCCTTGAGTCGGCGGGTGGGAGGGAATGGTACGCCTTTTTTTTAAATTCGCAATTAAAATAGTTAGTTAATGGGATGTGGTTATCATAAATTTAAGAAAATCAATAATAATGAACCGCGAATTCGGTGTTTTAAAATAATTTTTTGTTACAAAATCAACCCGTTTAGGTTCCAGAAATATTCCAGGCTTCAGCGTCGCCCGCTTTAAACGTTTTAATTGTGGTGTAATTATAATAAACGTTAAAGCGAATTGTAATATGGTGGTATAAAAATCAAAATTGTCATAAAATATATTTAGTAAATTTTGCCTGGAAATATGAAAAAAAACTTGAGTGTATCAAGTTGAAGTAAAGTAAATGTCCAATTCTTTTAAATTATATAATTTATAAAATATTAATAGACAAAAAAAGGGATATCTTTCATTCAAAGAATTTTGCTTAAAAATTAATTTAATTTAAATTAACTTTATATACAATCTATCCCCAAATCCTATATAACAACGATTCCCTCTAAATAAAAGGGTTACAATACAATTTTATCAATAAAATTTGAGGGTACCTCCAAAGCTTAACCTTTTAGTCAACATACATAGGTAGTATATAATGTAGTATATAATTGAATCATTTTATATTTTAGTCGGGAGTGGGAAGGGGATCTCGGCATCATTTCCGTTAAATAAATTTTTAAAAACTTGAGTGTATCAAGTTGAAGTAAAGTAAATGTCCAATTCTCTTAAATTATATAATAATATAAAATATTGATAGACAAAAAAAGGGAGATATTTCATTCAAAGAATTTTTAAAAATTAATTTAATATTAATTAACTTTATATACAATCTATCCCCAAATCCTATATAACAACTCTCTTAAATTATATAATAATATAAAATATTGATAGACAAAAAAAGGGAGATATTTCATTCAAAGAATTTTTAAAAATTAATTTAATATTAATTAACTTTATATACAATCTATCCCCAAATCCTATATAACAACGATGCCCTCTAAATAAAAGGGTTACAATACAATTTGATTTTGAGCCTGAGTATTAAATAGTCCAATTTTAAGTATTTAATATCCATCTAGTGTAAAATATTTTTTAATTTATAAATTATGGCAAAGGTCTCAATTCTTTTTTCGGGAGCCTTTTTACAATTTTTCCTATCATTATTATATAACAGTATGGAGCCTTAGAAAGGGAGTAAATGTACTTATCTTGCCCCTTTCTGGTAAATCTAGAAAAATTCTAATAAAAATGTTCTAATATTGACCATATAAGCCCTTTTCGGTTCCTGAAATATTAAAAATGACCGGGCCTGGCAAGTGCTATATACAGTGATAAATAAAAATACTTCTAATGCACTTACGAATTTCGTACAAAATGATATTAAAATTAAATTTATTTCAAAAAATAGATATACATCAAGAATATAATATTTTATTTACAGAAGAAAAGTAATCCACTATTCCTATATGATACATAACATCCTAATTAACCCTGATATCAAAAAATAAAATATGCTTGCAGTGGTGCATTCGATAAATAAAATTTAGAAACCTATTTTCCCCCGAATTACACTTTATAATAATCTGCTTTCAGTATATAATAAAAAAAATGACATTATTATATTAGTTATTACAAAATCTGAAACTGAATACACACTTAACAATTTTATTTGTAAATTTTATGCAATACCATATTACAACTTCTTTCAATACATATATTTTTTAAATATCGATTATTTTTATATCTGAATATTTTATATATATTAGTTTATTATGATATGATTCTAATATAGTAAAATTAATTAATATAAATTCAATTGAAAAAAAAAATTATAATTTAAAAAATTATTATTTTTTCTATATCGCTTACTGCGAGAATATTTAAAAAATATATATCTGGTATATGTTATAAACAATTCACTGTATGAAAAGTGACGCATCATATTAAATTTCATATCTTTAACTCCGCAAGAAGGAGAGGGCGAGCGATTAATACTAATCGACAGTTTATTTTGCAGTGTTATCAAAAGCTAGTTCCAAAAGTAGCGCAAACCGCTAATACTAAGTTTGGGAAAAAGTGGCCCGTCGATTATATTTAAAAATTAGCCTTTATGAAAAAATAAGTAATATCTTTAAAAAATCTATTACATTCGACAAAATATATCAATTTATTTTGAAATGAAAACTTGTAAAATTTTTTTTTATTTATTATTATTACATTTTGATAACAAAATCATTTCTATACTTTCACCCCTTATTTCTTGAACTTATATTATTAAATATAAGTTTAGCTTGGATAAATAACCGCTCAACACTAGCACTCCGGAGTAAGTGGAGTGTTTAATTTATTTTAGTATAATATTTCTCAAATTTTGGAAAAGTGAAAAAATCAGATTCTTAACATTATTATCAATTACAATATTCATTTTTTTCCTAATATCGTTAGGTTAACTACTATTTGCCTTGTCCTTATTTCATTTTTTTTAAAGTAATAATTATTACCAGAAGGTCGTAATGGATTTAATTTATTACAAAAAAATCTTTCTTTCAATTCAAAATATAAATAAATTAATATTATAGCATCAAATTTAATTATAAAATAATGTAGATGTATTAATAAATTATTTGTATATTTATAAATAAATAATTATTTTATTTAATTTAAAAGTAAAGAAGTAGCGTATGCGCTAAAGTAAAAAAATCTATGATTTAGATACACCCTGCTCTTGCGACAACTCTGAATTCTTCGGACATATCTAAAGAGGCTAACAGGATATCATTAGAGGTTTTAGGGTTAACTAAACGGCAGCAACCAAATTATATTAAATCATTTAAAAAAATATATATATCAGAGCTTGGAACCGAAGCAAAAAACTTGGAACCGGTAAACAGGTATAGATCCGTCAAACTAAAACCGTAACCAGAGCACATTTTTTAGGAACCAGAACCGGTTAGTAGATATTCAGAACCTTAACGTTTTTTAGTCCAGGTTACAAACTATGATACTTAGTATTAGTCATATCCCGTTTCCCCCCGACCTCGTCTAAGAGATCGGTTTCAGAAAAGCAGGTCCAGCCGGTAATCCAACCCAAATCGAAATAGTTTGCCGCGATTCCTATATCCAGGTTTTCTAACATTCTGAGCCATAGCTGCCATACAAAATAAGATGCCTTTCGTATAATGGATAATTCATGAGAAAGATGTAAAATATATGCCACCTCTTTAGGCTTAAATTTTAGCAAACATTACTTGTCTAAATATAATCATTAGTTATAGCCTAAAAAATAGGTCATATAGACTCTATAGTATAGGTTTGAAGAATTAAAATGAAGTATGATCCTCTTCGAAAATAAAAAAACATTAAATTTTTGGAGCAGACCGGTTTAACAGAACATTATTTGGGGGAGAGAATTAACCTGCTTTTTTTACGTGCAAAGGTGACAACAGGAACCATTAAATTAAATTTTTTTTATAGTCGGATAAATTAAAATAAATGACAAATTATTAATGTCTTTTTAAAAAAAAAATAATACTTAAATCGATTAATAAAATTTTTTAAATAAAATTTAAAAATCACATTAATCTGATATGGCAAAAATAAATATTATATATTTTTTTTATTTCCAAAGAAAAAAATTCATAATATCTAGCCAAATTTTTTTATTAATGATAAGATTTTAATCTATTATTCATGTTATCAAGATATTTTTTTCTAACTCCGCTTCTTTTTTGCCTCGAAAATTTAAAAATAAGAAGATAATCAATAATTTAAAACCCTAAAAATTTGAATTTAATTAATAGCCTAGCATTAAGAAAGTTAAGGTAAGATTTTAGAGACAATCAAATATATATAAACTAGAGGTCTGCAAACGGCAAAATTTTCAGACCCGGCCCGATTAGAATTTATCTACTTTTGCCCGGCCCAACATAATTTGAACTCTGCCAAGCCCGTTCCCATTATGTTGCCCGGCCAGTCCGGCTTTGGCTAACCCGAAATATATGTAGTTAAGCACCGAAATAAACAACCAATTATAATATTAAGGAGTGGTTAAATTAAAAGCAATACACTTTATGGATTATCAAATCAAATATCAGAATTCATCAATAATCCGGCCCAATAATTTTTTTGCACGGCCCGGCCCAAATAAATATTTACATACGTTCTGTAGACCTCTAATATAAACTACTAGATTGGCGATTTGACGATGCTGCGGCCTCGTGGGCAAATGTTTTCTATCATTTATGGGGCCTTTGCCCCCATACTACCATTTAAGACCTTCGGCCAGCTTTTGTCCTGCCTTCGGCCGGAACCCCTTTAATAGCTTGTTCATATTATACATGTTTTTATTATTTCTTATATTTTTTGACCACAATGTCTAAAGCGATGAGTTAAACACAATGTTACAATTATCACATTTTTATTTAAAAAAGACTCATATGAAATGATATTCCCATATTTTATTTTAAGAATTGCACATATAAAATTATTATATATTGCACTATAAAATCTACATAAAATATTGTACCGAGTATACACATAAAATCAGGCACAAATAGAATTTAAATAATGAATTAAAAGAATATTATATTTTTTAGCGAATAAATCTTTGGCGCAAATAAACAAATATTCGAGTTCTATTTGCATCAACAATTCTTTTTCAATAGATGTTCTTTTAAAATTTACTAATATGTTGACAAAACATGAATTAATATATGTAGCTAGCAGATTTAAGCAGAAAGTTACAAATAGCGTTATGTTACATAACATATCTCCTTTTTAAAAACATAAATAAGAGATTTTGTAATCATTATATTTGTTTGTTTTACTTAAAGTAAAGTATAATTTTCGTTACTTTTAAAACGTTTTTACAATTTTTTAAACAAAAATGATATTTTTTTATATAAAAATATATTAACCGTTAAAATGGAGTGGCTTGATTGTATTGGTTAAACGAAAATAAGGGAATCCCCAATAGAACTGCGAATAGGATTTCTTCAATTTCAAATCTTTCCATTATGGGATTTAGTT